GGGGGGGCGGGAAGGGAGGTAGTAGAAGTATATTAAAGGCTTTTCCAGTTCTAACATTTGATGTCATTATTGACTCTCTACAGATACTTTAAAAGCCAACATGAAGTTCTGATTTCCATTTATGTGTGGCAAAGGTATTTTTCAAAAGAAGAAAATATGCTATGGAAAAGATACATCATAATGCCTTAGTGTGATTTCAGGTTGTATTGTCACTGAATTATGACATAAAATTCCCATGCTAGTTAAATAAATACCAAAGATACTCATACCTTTCTTCCTAAAGAATCAAGTTGATCAAGGGCTTCCTGAATGGCTGGATCCGTCGGTATCAAGAGCAGAAGCTTTCGTACTCGGAGAGTTATCCTGGAATTTTTCAAATACAAATATTTTTCGCATAAGCCACAGTTTAATAACAAAGTCATTTAGTATGGGGTGTAGAGTAAAATATGTTTCAAGAGAAAAGTTACTTGGTTCCTGAACCTTCAAAATTTTCTTTCGAGCCTCACAAGTATTTATGTTTACCTTGGCTCCTCCAGATTGGCAAGCTGGTAAAGCATGTCAAACACGTTGCACACAAGAGCCATCACAACGCCGGGGAGGGATTTCTCCTGAGGGAGTGAAGTGAAATACAAATTCAAGTTTACAAAGATTCTTCTTTTCTAATCAAACTTACAACCAATAAAAATACTAGTTCTGAAAGGCTGCCCACTACAAAGCTCGAGGGACCACAGTGCTCATCTGCCCTGACGCAGCCCCCGAGGGAACGTATGAGAGGGAGGGCTCACTGCTTTCCAGCGTGTATGACCTGGTCTCCCTTCTCCCGGCCACCTGCTGGCGAAGGGGCTGGGGCACCAAGCAGGCAGCGGCAGAGAGGTCAAACGAAGGGCATGTGTGAGGAACTAAGTGAAGAGTGAGCAGCAACGGGGACTAATCATAGCTCATCTGGAGCAAACACAGTGATACGAAAGCAAAGGTAAAGTAGTATATGTACGTATGCACATTCACACGCAACACACAGATGTA